CCTTTAGTATGATAATTCCAATGAGTATGATCATCATTATGGGAAGAATTATTAGAAGTGTGGAAATGTCTTGTGCATGAGCAAGCACTCAATGAGATTTCAAATTGATTTTTTTTAAAATTTTTTTTTTTTTCTCTTTTCATGATTGAATGATGATCATAACCTCCATGAACTCCACTTTAGTACAAGCCCACAATCTAATCATTTATCCTATGATGAGCTACCAGAAAAAAGGAAAACAGGAGTACATGTACTAGTATAAAAGTCATTAATGATACTGTTTTAATTTATAATAAAATTAGTATTTTGGGACTGAAGGACTACCTCGAATTACCATAAAGAAAGAAAAGTAATTTTAAAACTAAGAAATTGCCTCAAAGTATAGGGACTGGCAGGTTGCGAAGCCAATTTAAACCAAGGCAAAAAAAAAAAAAAATTTAGAAAAAGAAATGAAATTAAGGCTAAGGGCGTGCTTGATAAAAATTAGTGCTAAATTCTGAATGCTTAATACTGAATTAGAAATACTGAATTCATTAAGCAGTTAAGCAATAAGCAATAAACTGACTTTTATTGCTTATATTTTGTACTACTATTTCAGCATCACTTTATTAAGAGATTCAGTTTTTTATTATCGAACATGCTGAAGTCAAAACGTGCTTAATGAAATAATTTTAAATAATAATTGGTGTTATCAAACAGTCCCTATGAGACCTTCTTAATTTAACCGGAAAATATGTGGAGTACTTTTTTAAAAATTTTTGTTTCTTATATACAACACAGCTCTTTCGGAATACAGTTGTAGATGGCTTGATTAAAAGAGATGAGAATTCTTAATATTTCAACTTTTACTGGCCTGTCAACAGCTAGAGATGAATAGAGCAGATTTGTTAACCACCGAAATTGATCTTACCAAAACAAGTGAGCTGGATACCAATCACTTTTACGAAAAATGAAAGTAATTAGATCAAATTGAAAGGAGACAAAACCAGAATTCTTTACCTAAGAACAGAATGGTTTGGCTCTATGTACTTTTAGATTATTTAAAAGTAGTACATCAACCTTAAGGCAGGTCATCAACAAAATTATCCAGCATGCCATACTTTTTAAAACGACATTTCAATCGCTAAAGAATTTTAAAAGAAATGATTCTTTTATATAATGCATTTAAACTTATGGGAATGAAATTTCTTTTCATATGTCTCGCCAACTATTTTTTTACACAGTTCGAATTAGAAACCAAACCAACAATGTAGAAAGGATCTTAAATTACTGACCTTGTTCTCTAAAGAATTTGGGAGGGATGAGGTTGTTAATAACGTAAATTCTAGGTTAACGAAATTTTCAATAGATGTAATCATGGAAAAGTGAATATTGTTTTAATATATATCGGATTAGATCACAAAGAACCCTAATAATAAAATGACGATATATGCTAGCTATAGCCCACAAATCTGTGTAAACGACCAATGATTCTACGATTCTAAGCGCAACTAGCCTTTGGAAAGTGATATTAAACACAATCAATTGAAATATTCCCTCCGTTCCAAAATTATTGTCCAGTTTAGATTTTCATTTATAGTTCAATTTAAATTAAAAATAAAAACTCAAACTGGATAATAATTTCTGGACGGAGGGAGTAATATTTATTCATTAATATTTTGCATAAGTCATCACTTACCACAACCATTTCAATACCAAAAGATATAGTGATCTGATCTTTTCTGATTGAGCTAATCCAGGAAATCGCAATGGGGTTTTGACAATTAACAAACAGGACATCATAATCAATCAGCATCAGCAAAGGCATGCTGTTAGATTCAGCAGCCCATCCAATGAAATCGTAGTGGCAGCTTATATTTGCGTGAATTAAATGTCTCGTCAGTGAAATAATACAAATTCTATTACGTATTACATATGTCTCATCAGTGAAATAATACAAATTCTATTACAAACAAATGCATATTATACATTTAACTATGATATGATTTTTATATGTTGATTGGATTTGGGATACCATTGATGTGTTTTTTTTTTCCAATTTTTTGAAACTGAAGACATATTTATTTTGGAGAACTCTTGAGGAAGACTGAAGAAATTGTGGGATCGATCTTCACATTTAGGAAATGTGATATTATCTACTGATCTCCATTTCATCGGGAAGGCATCTGGAAAGCAAAAGGGTAGTGTTTTCTGAAGTTTCTCTATTTTAATCATCATAAAATCCATCGATCTAAATGGAATAGTTCCATTATATCACCTAGCTAGGTAGCTATCTAGAACCCTAACTTTCTGGACTCTAAGTGATCTGGACACCAAATTCTATAGAATTTCTAGTCTCTCCAATTGTCTTTTCGTCATTTCTGACAACATCCCAATAACTTGTCACATTTGAGATTCAAAGTCTTTCTTAATCACTTTATGCTGATTGAAATCCTAATTGGACGTACACAACCAATTTGTTCTCAGGAATCTTACAATGGACCAAAAAGGAAAAAAAAAAAGAAAAAAAAAAAGCTGTTATCTGAAAGATTAATAACTCAACCATCTTATCGAGATGATTTTATTCTCTTTTTTTTTTTTTTTTTTGCGAGTTAGAACATCATCAGCATTAGCGGAATGATGTTTGCGGTAATGCGTCAGGAAAAAAAAAAACAAAGATTGAAGGACCACATCATGCCAAAGACAGAAGCTCAAACATAAGAGAAAATATTGTAGCATTAATTTGTTGCGTAATGCTCAAACCTTTAAACCCTGAAAATGGGGATGATCATCTCCAGCAGAGAAGACGGACTCTTTTACGGCGATGGATGGATGTCAGAATAGTTTCTTTGTTGACTCAAATGATACTAGAGATGCAAAAAATGTAAGTTCGGAAGACAAATTTTGAACTTTTCATCAGACAAATATAATTTATTGGCATGCGCCATGATATGAAAATGTACACAACCATCCCTTTGTCCCGAAATTCAAATTAAAAAATCATTTCAGGACTGAAGGAATACTATGTTCCAAAATAAAAGATCATACGTTTAAAGCATTGACTATCTACTTCCTATAATAATTGTGAGGCAGTTCACATTAAAATTGTACTCCCTCCGTCCTATAATTATTGTTGAGTTTAAGTTTTTATTTTTAGTTCAAATTGTACTAGAAGTGAAATCTCAAACTGGACAATAATTTTGGGACAGTGGAATATACTTTAGATAAATTTTTAGAACTAAAACTATATTGTGCATAAAAATGATTAGAAAATTTAATCAATGTGCACATCCCTTTAGTTACTCCGGCTAATAACAATAGTTTATTTTGTAAAATTAAAATAATTTAATAAAGTGGACTATTTTTCTTTGGCTTAAGATTATGTTCCAAAATGATGAATTAAAGGAGGTTTTCCTATAAATCACTCATAAATGAAGAACTTCGAAATGAGAGCTAGAAATTTTTGTATCTGCAAAGAAGTTAATGGAATACTGCCCAGTGCCCAACTATATAGGGTGGCAAACCCTGATTAGGACTAATCAAATTATTGATTAAGTTTAAAGTGGGCTTTAATTAGAGGGCATCTAATCTAATTAAGTTCATGAGAGCACTAATAATAACTTTATCAGAGAAAGTGCGTTTTTTGGTGTGGGAAAAAAAAAAAAAAACTAGTGAGAAGATCATATATTCTTTTTCTAGAAACTTATGGAAATGCTTAATGAACAAACACATTCCCATTTAGGAAAGGCTGACATGGATTAAACTGAATGAAATTCCATCAAAGAAATTAAAGAAGAACAAAAGGAATGGTGTTAGTTTTATAAATACGAGGAAAAGGGTTTTTGGGCACAGAACAGAATGATGCAATTTTAGATGGTGTCTGAATTGCCACACGTCCAATCCGAAGGGTATCAAAAACCATTGGCTGAGGTTGACGAGTTTTCCAGGATTATGGTTATTGTTGGGTTGACAGGGTTTTGGCCATAGAAAGTGATCTGCATGAGATTTTGTGTAATGATGAAGATGATCATCATCTTTTATGTGTTATGAAAAAGTGATCGAAGTGATAGCAAGCGTGACATTTGAAAATTCGCATATTCTTGTACTATGTAAATTTTAGTCAACTGAACTTTATTGATGACATTATTCTATTACAACAGTGAACGTACAACAGAACATAGCAGAATTTTTCATCCACATAATGTATTGTTTTAAGTTTTAGGCTATGTGTCCATTGTACATGGTCTTTCTACACTCATTGTGTTAAAGAATTACAGTACTAGCTTATATTTTTATTTTTGTCTTTGTGTAATATGCGGGTAGATTATTGTTGCTAATGTTGAAAAGGTGGTTTTCTTTTAAAAGGAACAAAAAAAATTTGGTGTCAAAGTTAATCATGTTACTAAGACTAGCTACTATTATATAATGCACTCTCTCCATCCCACATTGATAGTTCATTTTGTAAATTTCTGTTTTGTTATAAAATAAACGTCAAATTGCGTTGCTCCTTGTTATTACTCTTTCTGCCCAAAATTTTTGTCTTGTATGAATTTTCACTTTTAGTATAACTGGACAATAATTTAAACTAATAAAGAAACTCAAATTGGACAATAATTTTGGGTCGGAGGGAGCAGTAAGCAACAAGTTTGAATAGAAGAAGTGAAAGGTTTTTAACCAAGCAAGAAAAATTTCCTTCAGTGTGCATTAATAACGAGGAGGAATGCAGCTTATAAAAGGCCCAATATTGTAAGCTGAAGGACAAAAGTCTCAAGTTACTATAGACAAATTGCCAAAATAAGTTAAGTTAGTTCAAAGTTCTCATGTTTTTTCTTGCCACTAAACTGAGTAAGAATGGACATTGTCCTCAGCAAAATATTTCTCCATGTACTAGGTTAGGATCAGTAGACAACCTGAATCCAATGTACACTGAAGCTGAGATGCCATAAATAATGCAGGCTACAGGATTTTGCTTAGCCAAATGTACAACATGCAGTCAGACAACTGGTAGCAGTGACAGGCCACTACAATGGATTCCTATTTACATCCTTATAGAGTAAATATCGTGACCGGCTGGTACCAAGAGCAGCATACCTGAAAATAAAGCAAAATTGTTAGGTATCTACTTAAGCTTACTTCTAAGGAACTTTAATTTTCCAGTGCTCTTCACTTACCACTGAGGCACGAATGGTGCCATCCAAATTGAGTCACCAGCTTGAACAGGGTACCTGTAGCATAGATTCAAAATCCATGAGGCTGCGAGAACAGGTGAATTAAAGATCCCGTGACGGGTTACAGAAGAACAGGTTTCCTGGAAACAGATGAATAAAACAAGCGACAAAATGATGCCATAAGAACTAAAACAAAGTTGAAGACCATTTGAGTAAACAGCTCAGAAAATAGTAGACTATAGGTTTAAAAGTGATGAATTTCCCCCAACTGCTTGTAGAAGCTCGTGTCAGCATCTTTTCTCTTGGAATCCCCATGATAAGAACAAGAAGGCCACCCCCAAAAAAAAAACAAAAAATATAAAAATTTATTCTCCTCTATCCATTCTGCAGAATTTAAGGGACAATACAAATGATCTCAGACCTCAGCAAAAGTGACACAAGATTCAGCATATCTTCAATATTACATATAAAGAAGACACTTCTTACCAGCTGTCACCTAAGCGATATATACCCTGTCCTTCCAAAAGCAACAAACCATGCTGGTTGTAATGGACCTCCTACAAAGAAATCAAAGATTTCATATTCATTCACGAATCTAAAGAGAAATGTCGGAACTACTACACAAACCTTTAATGTAGGCATATTCTCTGATTGGACAAAGATTTCAAACAAGTAGGTGAAAAACTATGGTTCTAACTAGAAATTGTGAATGAGACTGTGATCAGTTTGTGGTCAATATTACAAAGTAAACCATTTTACTGATTTCATTTTAAAAGATTGGCTGCAGGAATTCAGATAATCTCTTCTTTTTTCTTTTTTCTTTTTTTCCTAATTACTATTTCAATTGGAACTCTGGCTGTTGCAATGCAACATGGACACACAGGATTTGCTGGTTTTGAAATCTTTGTCAGCAATATGCATTTCGCACTCTGGAAATGTGACCTTCAGTTTTCAGGTGAATTCTATTTCCTAAACGGCATAGTTTTAGAACAGTCATTCTTTATGGTGTTCCTTTACCGAATGAAGATGACATATTCAACTGAAGCAGCAGCAATAGCATTCAAAAAAAGAGATAATCTACTCAAACTGAATCTGAAAGCACGGCGATATAAAGAAAGTTTGACATTTTGGATTGTAAAAATATAACAGGAAAAAACAGCAGAATGCAGTGTACCTTGACATTGAGAAATTCTCCTGGTTTAAAATCCATGATCTGCCAATGTAGTGATTAGTTAGTTGAGTAATATGATAAAGAATTCACCTATGTCACAAGTGTTTAAAAGATAACAACTCACATGAATGTTGAAATCATAAGGCAAGGATGTTGGAAGCAGTTTCCTCAGTTCAAAAACCTGAAGGAAAAACAAATAAATACTCATTAGGTGCAAACTATGACTGCAACACAGAGGATAAAGTGAAACTACATAGTCTACAAAACCAGAAACTTTAGGTCACACATTAGAAGAAAGTAGGCCACTCTTCATCTTGCGTTTGAACTACTTAGAATCTATTTTAAACTAACCTCTCCAGGAGTCTCAAGAAGGGGCTGTTTATCTGTAGAACCAATAATTAGATCCGTGTAATGACTCTCCAGGTAAGAGTACCTGCAACGGAGAAAAGCTTTTGATGAGGAAAAATGGCACTCAACCACCTATGTATGTAAAACAACATCCTACATGCATAACGAGACCAGTGGTAGAGTAGCATGCTTAAGAAACTCGAACCTTCTTTCGAATACAACAAGAGTTGATGAAGCATCGCATTTTATATGGTGTGTAGAGTTTGGTGGAATATAAGCAAAGGAATCCACCTGCAAAGCAAATTTGCAGTACCAGAGGCAGGAATCTTTAAGGCTCCATTCAAAGAGACTAATTAGATGCCATATATGAAGAAGTTGAAGAACAATGCAAAGAAACATAATTTCCCAGATTAAAGAACTTCTAATGCTGAAGCTACGCAGGCTACAATGTAATTGTAAAAGATTCACACAAAAAGATACTTTTCAAATGCCATATAACAGAATCCACTACAAGTTCTGTAAACCTTCACAAACTTACAGACTATTGTGGGGGTAGTGAAACATCTGAAACAAAACAACAAGTTTACTAGAGAGAAAAAGTAATTTACTCACATTCAGACTGTGGGTGACTCCCGAAACATCAGTGAGAAATACTGTACCATGCAGCACAAATACAAACCTGCTTGTAAACATAAGAATGTGGAACATTAAAGTCCTTTATGCAAGACTATATACAAATATATCTTCGTCATGACAAGTGAACTTGTATCTGGCAGATTTAAAAGCAGAATCGCAAAAGCATATACCTCTCAACATCCCTAAGTGGAAGCCCTGATTTTGAATTTTCTGCAAGAGAAGGAGTGAAATCTTGTTTATTATCATGTGGAACAAAGGAAGATCTTAAGCTGACTTCATCAAGTCAATCATTATAACTCAACCATGCAACTTAAAATTGCAAGACAGTATAGAAACTACACCATACCTTGCATTTTAGCCAAGTACATAACAAAATGTGAGCCCATTGCAGGTGTTATAAGAAAAGCACCCAATGTGTTTGTCCTATTAGACCAACACCAATCAACATTAGGATCTCCAACTATCAAAACTCAACTAAAGAATGCACATATTGTGTACTAATTTCTTATATACCAATCAGGTAAAGGGCTGAAGACGTGACTTTCTGGAGTAATCAAAGCATGGTCTCTCTTGTACACACTGCGAGTAAAACCGGGCAAGTCTGCCAACAACAATTCTAGTTTAGTTCCTTCTAGTTGCAATAGCATTAATCCACAAACCAACATTACGATATATATAAATTTTTCCCCTATAGTTTCCACATCAGAACAGAATCCTATGATAATTTCAGCAATTTGTAGGGAAAATACAAGAGAAAAAACAGGGCTATTACAGGAAGCATAATACTTCTCAGTAAATTCAATTATTCATGGAAACATTAAAAGGCATAAGAAAACATTGGAAATGTAAGTGGCACCAAACCTTGAAGGTGAGAAGGAGACAAGGTAGGATTGGTAACTTTCCAATAAAGTGGTTGAGCAGTGGAATCAGCAGCATTCAAGATTGGTGGTGCAGAGCAGAAACCTTCTTGGGACAACGAAACCATCAAAGAACCTGAAAGCAAATACAGAATTAGTCAAAAACAGGAAATTTCTCAAGTTTCGATCTTTAGCAATGAAAACGTTAAAACAAAAAATTCCATAGTTGTCTTACTCATTTGAATTGCTAAAACGAAAAAGAACAACGGTGAGAAGACTACTAAAGATCCCATCTTTGATCTTTGGAACACCGATGGCTTTCTGGGATTTGTTATTCAGGGGTAAGTAAATGGCTTTCGGTTTTGTGCTTGGCCTGTGAGTATTGAGCTTTAGTGGAGCCTCTTTCTGACAAATGTTTATTTGTTTAGTGGCTGACACTGCACTGTTGGGCTTTTGTCTATTTGCAAATCCTCATCAATTTATATATACTTTCTGCTGACTGTGTGCGAGTATGACTGTCTGTAGCACTTTTTAAGAATTTATTATTGAATTCCCCAGCCTGAGCATGTGAATTTTTTTATTTTTTTTTCTCAATCATTATATAATAGTATGTGTTCCGCGCAAAGCGCGGGTGTGTCAATATTGAAAATTTATCTTTCAAAATAATTAATTAGATAATGTAGTTATTAATATTTCTTAAAATCGTAAAATTTTTTGATTAATCAATTTTAGATCAAAATGAGAGATATTGATATTATTTATGAGATGTATATTTGTAAGATCTGGCCAAAAATATTACAACAAAAATTTTAAAAAGTTGTATAATAAAAATTGTCACTACTAACTACTATTATGTTTGGATTAAAAAATATATTAAAAAATACGTAAATTATGTCTATGGCTTATTTATAGGGAAGGGGACTTTGGGGATTAGACACAATTAATCGTCCTTGAAAATATAAAATCAATAAAATTAAAGACAAAGTAGCACATAAGTAGAACTTTAAGAGCTAAAATGATAATAAGTTAAAAGTGTTGCTTGATGGTCTCAATTAGCGATGATAATATATATATATATATATATCTATAGTACTTAATTAAAGCAACAAACAAAAAGGACATATGTCAGCTCCATATTGAAAATTTTCCCGCCAAATACCTATTTCAGTACAAAATGAAAACTGACACGTGGCTTCTTAAGATGCTAGATAAATAAATAAATAGATAGGTAGATCACTTTATGCTCCAGAAAAAAAGGATGGAATAAAAAAGAAAAAAACCACACATATTCTCGGAGAAAGCCACAAACAATTAGTTTGAATCTTGAATTAATGAAATCCCCTAATTTATGCCGGATGATTCTGTAATCCTTTCAAATCAGTTATTTCAAATCTTACATCAATTATCACTCCATCTCTTCTTAACCCTAATTCCAATTTTAAAGCCAACTAAAGAACGGAATGAAAAAGAAATATTTGTAATAGGGAAAAAAAAAGAAGCCGCCGCGGAAGGAAATTACCAGTGACCGGACGAAGACGATTGAGATGGACAACGGATGAATATTAAGATTCAGTGAATATCATCAATGAAAAAGATCAATCCGCCAACAGGAAAATATACCGCCAGAAAAAAAGTACAAATCCGGTGATGTCACAAGGATAAACAAGAGGCAGGTGATGTCTAAACTTTCAAATCTCAAACGAATGTAATCATGCATACAATTGAGTTTTTTTTTTTTTTTTTGTCCGATCTGTGCCTCACTAGGTTACGAGAAAAATTCTGCAGATTCAACAACTCTTTGGGTGGTCAGTGGTGAACCTGCGGCGACGAAATAGTTTGCAATTTAGAGCTTCGGATTTTTTTTTCCTGCAAATTATTAACCGCCACCTAAACATTAGTAATTCATTTTGCTACTTAGGTTTTTTTTTTTTTGGCCAGTTTTTTATTTAGTAGCGTAGATGTTAAAATCGGGATGCCATGTCTCCCAATTTTTTTGTACAGGTTAAGTGTATCTTGAATTTCTATATTAAATATATTTAGGGACATTATCTTTTTTGATTTAGATGTACAGAGTTGGAGGCAAAAGATGATCGATGCACTATTTCAAGCAATGCACAAATGGTAAGTTTCATTCTTTTAACAATTTAAATTGTTTGATTATAGTTGCTGGTGTAATTTAGGGACTGGAATTTGATAGGTACTTGAGCTCTTATGATGTCCTTATGAAGATAGCATGGAATTCAATATTTAGAGTTGACTTTTGAAATGATTTAATGACGTGTAGTTCAAATGAATAAGGGATAAAATTTTGATGATGGATGTCATGTGTAATTTAATACTTTAATGTTTGGTCCGGGTGAAAGTAGAATGATCTTATCATTGTTGCTGTTTAAAGGGATGGCAAATTATCTTCATTCAATAGTTATTTATGTTATTAGGCAGGTTGTCATTATATACACAATTTTTCTAGGGTGGAATTTGATGTGCTAGACTGTCCCATTTTAACTATTTTCTTTGCTCTGTATCTGATTGCATGGAGGGAAGATCTTGAATTATGAGCACAATTTGTTGAAATATTTCCAATGCAGTTGTTATTGAATTATTTCTTGAAGAGTTCTATGCAAGACATGGGAGCAATCAGTGCAAGTCCTTTTTTTTTTTTTAGTCTTTAGAGATGGGTGAAAGGGAAAGAAAAAGAGTAACAACTCGGGTGTATGCACGTAGTCAATAGTAAGAATAGAAACCCACGGTGATCTATGGTATATGGTCTTTTCCCATTTGTAGTGTAGACAAATGAGATTTTAATGTAATCAATATATTCCTTTATAATGTGGATATCATAATATTGATATATTACTACAGTAAAATATCTTTATTATCACTAATTATTATTAATCCAAGTGAAAGCTCTTTCATTTTTTTTTTTCGTTGAACCCTTTGAAGATACACATTTTTCCCAGCATGTTCATTCCTATAGAACTTCAGTGAATTGAATAAACTATGTAGTAAGTGATCAACCTAGGTATTAATTATATAATATATTTTCCATTATATTGCAGGCAGGAACTCGATTTTGGAATGACAGCAAAGGAACTTAATTAAGGTTGTTTACACAAATCAACCTTCAGGTGGGTTGCAAAGTTTTTCTTGCAAAGTACTTGCATTTTCTTTGTAGATGTATTTTCTGATGGATGTCCTATATGCAAAGTTTGAAGTGTTGGTACTTTCTTTATGGAAAATGAATGAACAATTAGGAAAAAGAATAGATAGCTAACCATTTATCTATAGACGTTAACTCAAATTGCTAGATGCATGTTTTTTTTTATATGGTTGCAGCCTAGGCAGTTTTGTATGGAGAAGCCAAATGTGAGAAAACCAATGAGTATTTGTTCATGAGCATATCTGTTGTTTTGGAACCCCTTCTCATGTGATGCATGTGCCTTATCATTTGAGAAGCTAGAACCAAGAATCTCATTGCAAAAAGAATTAAAAATTAAAGCAGAATACAAATAAACCAATCTTATGAGCATATTGTGATTTTATTTTGTGTTTGCCTTTGTATACATTTGTTGGGAATCATGCACATTTGTTGCGGCAGTTGTCTTGCAGGACTTGGTAATGTGGTAAATGTTAAGCAGCACTATGACAGCCAATGGTTTCCAAATCTGAAATGGCTCTCCCTATTGTCGTTGTTCCTGGTTCTGAGTTCAGCAAAAAGAATGGTGTGATTTGGGCATCATATCCAGACCATGTTGAGCTTCTATACAAAGTATTCCACCATTGGAATAGCTCTGATTCACAATGTGAATAGCTGTCAATTTTACAAGAATTCTCCATTTGATCATCTGGTTTAGCGGATTCTTTGTTGTTAGATAATTGAATCGTGTTTCTTGATCTTTTAAGAGTATTGCAGTTTAACAATTTGTTTGGCATGTCATGTGTGGGCATGTCAGTAATAGCGGGGTTACAAGCTCCTCTCATTGCTTTAGGGGCACCCATTTCAGGTATACAACTCATTTTTATCAACAGATGGCTCATGATAGTGGTCTGCCGTTAATTGACTTTTTAATAGGAAAGATATGAGGGCTCTGTTACAGGAAAAGATTCACAAGCAATTGCAATGCAGATCAATGTTTGTTTTTTAAACTTTTTCTCTGGGCGTTCTCAAATCTGATGTTGATTTTTGCTCCGTATTATTTATATTCAAAAAAGATATATTACATTGTATCAAAAAAGATATATCACATTGCACAAACCGTTATTAGTACATTCTTCTCTTTTTTCAGGATGAGTATTCATGAATCAATAGAACATCAAAGTATTAGTATATTAAAGGTTGGATTGTTACATAGGTTTAGGCCTGTTTTTTGTTAGTTTTTGTTCCGGTTGAATGTAGTTCTCCATTTTTATGCTTTCTGTATTTATCAATTTTATAACGAAGTTTTTGAGCGCCACCTTAGTATATCCGAATGCATCTTATAGCATAGAAAGAGTTGGCGGCCTTGGAATAGCTGATGAGATCCAAACAGGTTTTTGAGGCTCATGGTGTTGAACGAGATCTTCGAGATCACTTGAGCGAAGACGTCTTCCCTTTATCAGAAATTTATCTTCGCATGTTCTTTCTTTCTTTTATTTCCGCGAAAAAGAAAAAAAAAGGACGAAATAGGGATTGTTTTGTTGAATTTTCATTTACTAAGTGTGAAGTACAATTATATACACTTTGTCTTTCACGTTTGAAATAATCTTATTTTATCCCACGTATACACATACTTATATCAATGCATGAAAATTATAAATATAAATTTTAAGAGATCGCCCGGGCATCCGCCCGGGCCAAGCATCTAGTATATATATTAAAGGAAAGAAAAATAATCGACGCGTGTCACTAATTGAGACCATCAAGTCTCAATTAACACGTGTTATTTGCTAATTGATTAATTATTAATCAGTTAAAATTTTTTGTAAATAGTTAAGAAATTATTTACTACTCCCTCCGTCCCACAAAAATAATCCAATTTAATAAAAAATCTTGTCCTAAAAAAATAGTCCAGTTTAACAAAAACTAAAATTCATTGAATTGAAATGACTTAAATATCCAAAAGAGTAGTGGTATGAAAAACAAGGTCCACTTCCTTTGATTTTCATTTTTTTAGTTTTCTCTTATTTTTTAAAATGATTATATCTTTTAATACATGAATAATTAAAAAATGTGTTGTATATCAAATTAATCTACGTAACGAGATCTTTTCATCAAGATCCATTGTCAATATTTTTTGAGATAAAAATTTTGACCAAATTTAAGTTGTAAAATAAATGCATATGTAGTTAACTTTTATAGAAATAACTAGAAGGGGCATTAGTGAAAGTTAGGGGAATGAAATGAGTTGTACATTTGGTGTATTGACCAAATTAAAAAAGTTGTATAGTTTCAAACTGGACTATTTTTATAGGACGGAGGGAGTATATGAGATTTTTACAGATATTACAAATTCCTGATTGTGAGCTTGAAAATGAATATTTTTGAAAATTGCTGAGAAACTCCCGACTTCAAAAGTCCTTTCATTTACGAGTTTAAATTTCAACCTATTGTCATTTTGGCCCTTAGAGTTCCATTTGTGTGCTATTTAGTTTTCAAGTTTATCAATTTTACATTTTTAATGACGATTAATTGTGTCTCATATTTTATTAGAACCACATCTATTCCCCAAAGTCCACTTGCCTATAAAAATAGGCCATATGAATCTAGACATAATTTACGTATTTTTTAAATATATTTTTTAAACCAAAAATAACATTAGTTAGTGGTGGTAATTTTTATTATACAATTTTTGAAAATCTTTGTTGTAATATTTTTTACCAGATCTTACAAATATACCTCTCATAAATAAAATCAATACCTCTCATTTTGATCTAAAACTGATTAATCAAAAAAATATTACAGTTTTAAGAAATATTAGTAACTACATTTTTTTAAGAGAATAAGGACGGTATATTTGTAATTACATTATCTAATCAATTTTTTTGAAATATAAATTTTCAACATTCACAAAGTCGCGCAAAGCGCGGGACACACACTAGTTATTACAAAAAAAAAGTAGGAGTATATTCAACTTGATGTGATTTCAAGTGTTTGAAATTAGATTGAGTTCAAGTAATTTCTAGTTTAATCTCAGTAAATTTTTGCAAATCACTACCTCGTCTCATTGTAATTCTCCTTTCTCATTAGGACAGAGTAAATTTTCAACATGGAATGGCTCAATTTATTTACTCCATAAGTCACCAACTTTATAGTTTTGAGTCTTGAGGGTCTGTCAACATATTGCAAACTTGACATTCCTTCATGTTTAGGTTCATTTGGTATTTTTTTTATATGTTTAATACACAATTTGGTACCTTTACTAGACAAACACAGAGAAAGACAAATGGTACTATTCATACAGACTTTGATCTTTGAATACAGTTCCGTTGTTGTTCATTACAATGGATTCCTGTTCCCATCCTTGTACAGCAAATATCGTGTTCGGCTTGTTCCAAGCGCTGCATACCTGAAAACGAAGCAGAAGTTGAGTTGATTGCCTACTTCAGCTGGCTGCCAAGGAACCCTTTTTTTTTTTTTTTTTTGTTTTTGAACTGTTCTTCACTTACCATTGAGGCACAAATGGTGCCATCCAAATTGCATCACCAGCTTGGACAGGGTACCTGTTGAGGTAAATTCATAAACGAAGAGGCTGTGAGAAAGACATAATGTTGACCTACCTTGGAGGCTTACTGCATTATATCAAATTCATAGAGAACAGGAATTAAACGGCGTGCAAGAGAGAGCGATTTTCCATGTGAAGAGAAAAGGGGGAACAATATTGTGTTTCTTGATGGTGGAAACTGATGTATATTTTCTTTCAGATCGTCTTTTAAGTACTTTGGCATATTTTTTTCCCCCTTGGAGGCTCATTGAAAAAATTAAAGCCATGAACTAACAACAAAAAAGGGCCCGTAGCGTAATGTCGACATATAGTCCATACAGCAGAACTTCACATAGTGTTGTAGAGCTAACAAGGTGTTGTGAATCTTACCAGCTGTCACCTAAGCGATAAATACCCTGGCCTTCCAAAATCAATAAGCCATGCTGGTTGTAATGAATCTCCTGTCAAGTAGCCAAAGATGTACATTTACATGGATCTAAAATGAACACTACAATTTACAACACAAGCCTCCTTTATCTATATAGTAGTTCTCAAGCTAGCAGGTGAATATATGGCTATAACTGGAAATGGTGAAAAAATTTGCTTGTCATATTATGCCAAAATCTGCTACAGAAGTCCACCATCTAGCATGCACACACAGAGCAAATGCTATAAAAATCACACATCACTATGCTGGTTTCTGAAGCTTTGTTGGCAACGTGAATTTTCCTAGTATTGTCACACTTTATGGTGTTCGTTTATTGAGCATAGATAATTTATATCAGAATGTGTATAGGAAAAGCATTCAATGAGGAGAGCAGTAGCAGACTAGCAGTAGTATCGACCAACAGAAAGAACCTAATCGAGTAGAAGCTCAAGATTTGGGATTTCCGACATTCAATACAATAAAATTAGATATACCTTCACATTTAGAAATTGGCCTGGCTTATAATCCAACATCTGCAAAAGTAAAATAAGCTTTGTGAAGATGCTTCAAGTGAAAATAGTTATAACACCAATCCTAATGAGTACTCTCATCCGTGGATAAGAAGTTGAATCATCATAGTAGTATGATAAGGTAAAAGTCTACATATGGGTTTGCCAGAAAACAACTCACATGAATGTTGAAATCATATGCCAGAGATGTTGGAAGTAGTTTCCGATGTTCAAAAACCTGAGCAAAAACATATAAATAAATTAACAGTAGATGCAAGCTCCCACTGCGACAAGTATACTTCAAATTCTAAAACTTCATCAGAAATAGTAGATGAAATTCTACACTTCAGTATTTCCATATGGAACTACTTAGGATCTTTTAAAGATTACCTCACCAGTAGTCTCAAGAAGGGGCTGCTTGTCTGTAGAACCAACAATTAGATCCGGGATATGATTCTCCAGATAGGAGTACCTGCAGAACAAAAACATTTGGTTTCAGGTTAATAAGCGAATGATCACCATGGTGAACTCTACACGAAAACATGAATAGCAGGCACATTTCATGATCTAATGTATGCTGATTTGAAAGAGCAACATGTTTGACTTCTAAAGTAGTACTCAACCATCGATCTGAGGCAGGCCAAAGATGAACCTGACCAAATCATTACTGCAGTCACATTACTTGTGCATAGAAGCCACAAACCTTCTTTCAAATACAACTAGAGTTGACGATGTATCACAATTCAAATAGTGTGTTGAGTTAGGTGGAATATAAGCATAAGAATCCACCTGCAAAGGAAATCAAAGTATAAGAGTCACGATTTTCAAGACTCCTGTGAGAGATCAAAGGGAACCAACAAATGCAATAGGAGAAGAGAGGCAGAAACACAGGCAACGACCTTCTATTGCAGAAGCCTTACACATGATGGTAAAGTACCACACAAAAAAAATACTACGCATGTATTAACTGCCATTGGGGATCAAGATTATTCGCTTTCCTTCACTTCCATAATTATATCAAGATCAGTTTTGAAAACTATCACCCACCTATGGATTCTGGTAAGAGAATTTAATCTAAAGTACTTGAAAGATGAAGTAATCTACTCACTTTCAGACTGTGGGTAACTCCTGAAACATCAGTGAGCGACGCCTCACCCTGAACCACAAATATGAACCTGCTTGTGAAAATACACTTGTGAGCACGGATCACTCAATGGTAGAGAAAGAAACAAGTTACGTATGTCAACATGACAAACAAACTTATATCTGTCAGATCTGATAGCAGAACTGCTAAAGAATATACCTCTCAACATCCCTTGTTGGAAGCCCAGAAATTGAATTTTCTACAGGAAAAGAGTGGCACCAGTCAATTATTGTACAGAATAAAGGAATGGCTTGAGATCATTACAAAACAAAGAGGATACCATGCATTTTAGCCAAGTACATAACAAAATGTGAGCCCATTGCAGGTGTTATAAGATAAGCACCCAATGTGTTTGTCCTATCAAACAAACATCAAGGAATATCATTAGGACTCAACTATCGAAAACTCAAGCAAGTGAACAATGCTTATAGGACATACCAATCGGGTAAAGGGCCAAACATATGACTTTCTGGAGAAATCAACGCATGATCCCTTTTGTACACACTGCGAGTAAAACCCGGCAAGTCTGCTAATACCAAAAGCGTAGTTGAGTTCTTCTAATTGCAGTATCTCCATCTCTCCACAATACCAATACTTGGTTAATCAAATTCCTTAAATGCCAATATCAATTATTGGACACTCAACAGAAATACTACAGCAATTTTTTCTCAGCATATTCATTCAACTAAAAGAAAAACAGAGAGGCCTTTAAAAAAAAAAGAAAAGAAAAACATTGTGATTACTATTGTAGAAAAATCATTTGTCCCAAACCTTGAAGATGAGAAGGAGACAGAGTGGGATTGGTAACTTTCCAATAAAGTGGTTGATCACAGGAGTCAGTATTCAAGATTGATGGTGCACTGCAAAAACCTTCTTGAGACAAAGAAATCATCAAATTACCTGACAACAAATACATACAAAAAGGGTCAAAAGCAAAGAGTATGGCTTCCAAGTTTCTGAATTTTTAGCAATGAAACCGTATGCAACGAGGAAAACATAGTTGCCTTACTCATTGTAAATGCTAGAAGGAAGATGAATCGTGGTGGAAATACTAACAAAGATCCCATCTTTGATCTCTTCTCTGTTGCTGCCTGCTATTCGCTGCTGCTAACTGATAAATTGTGTACCTGTGTTGTGTGTGCATTTCCTGTGTAGGAGTTTGCTCTGACCAACTGAACAATAAAAATTTTGAATATTCCCAGGCTTCGCCAACATTTTGTCTTGTTTCCATTATTTTTTGCTTTTTATAAGACAATGGTGTCCACTGCACTGGCATATTCAAATTATTAATTCCAAACCATAATATTTTAAATTGGTACCATTGAGTCACCTGAATCAGTTAATCATTTTGACCTCTTTTGGCTGAAAAGTGACAACATTGACAGAACAGAAGGTTAAATGATAGAAACAATTGTACACTTCAATGAAGAACTTGGAGCATTAGCAACCCAGGCTCGCCCCTAGTTGAACTGTCAACAATGATCTTGTCTCTCATATTTTGATTCAAACTTCAGTACATAATTTTCACATTTTGAATAATCAATTTTGTACATTTACAAAACAAAATCAAGAGCAAAACTGAAAGGAAAATAATCACTTTTTAATAGACTGAGAGCTTTTGATACAGTTCCATGGTAAAGCAAGGATAGGCCGCAATCACAATGGATTCCTTTTTTCATCCATGTAAAGTAAATAACGTGTTCGGCTTGTACCAAGTGCAGCATACCTGAAAAGTCATAACAAATCAAGTAAATTTATTTCGATGCATCTACCTTGAATCTGATAATAATCAAGGAACTAAAATGCTCCATCGCCCTTTAATTACTTACCAATGTGGCACGAATGGCGCCATCCAAACTACATCACCAGCTTGAACAGGGTACCTGTTGCATAAATTTGAAAACCAAGAAGATATGAGGGAAAGTGGAAAAAAATTTAATCTAGACAAATTCCATGCAAGGCTGAGTGCAGAGCTCCAGATTCATGGAAAAGATAAATAGATCATGCAACAAAGAAGAGAAACAAAGTTGTGAATGTAACCTCCGTAAATGTTGAAGTGCGATTCTTACCAGCTGTCACCTAAGCGATAAATACCCTGGCCTTCCAGAATCAACACACCGTGCTGGTTGTAATGGACCTCCTTCAAGAAGCCAAAACAGTACATATAAGACAAAACCTGCTTTGTTCTTTGGGAGAAAAACTCAAAGCATGTGGGTAGGAAAAAGTGGTAAGACAAGAACTGTCTTTGGTCTATCGCCAAAATAACAAGTAAACCTTCTCAGCATTTATGACGTTAATACAATTGTCTGCATAATTTCTATAATCCTATATATTCCAGTAGGAAGTAGGTGGTGACGATAAAAATTTAGTTTAAGTAATGAGAACTAGTCTGCAATGGAGGTGTAGCACATACTACACACATTGAGCAACTTCTATCAGTATATATCCAGTTATAAAATAAAACATCATACACTAATATGCAGGTTTCTGAACCTTTGTCCACTATATGCATTTTACGGTCTGGAAGGCATCTAGTTAGGCTTCTTGCTTCATAAATTTGAATATTCCATTATCTTTCTAGGACAGATAGTATTCTCATAGTTACGATTTCCTTCTTTGAGTATAGATTCTTAATTCATTTCGAAATGAACATCAGAAAAATATTCATTTTGGAGAAGCAGCAGTAAAATCGCACAATATGCAAAGGCTACTTAAGTAGAACATGAACCCATATAACATAAAAGATGTTCGAACTACAAGACTTTGAACTTTCGTATCAGGAAACAGCTAGAAGAAAGTGTACCTTCACATTTAGAAATTGTCCAGGCTTATAATCCATGATCTGCAATAGTATTAGTCAGGCTATTACAGATGCTTCAAGCAATAAGTTTGTTGATAGTAAACACTGACAATAGTCTCTTCCATGGACAAGAACTGCAATCATGATAATGTATTGATTCTAAGTAGGAGTATGCAAGATAAACTCACGTAAATGTTAAAATCATGAGCCAAAGATGCCGAAAGAAGATCCCTGTATTCATAACCCTGAGCAAAAACATACAAATAAATTCACATTAGGTTGAAGCTTCCACTGCAAGAAGTGGTACAATGTGGGTGGCATTATGAATCCTACAAAGTCAGAAACACCATCATACATACTAGTGGAAAACTGTCTACTCTTCCAGAATTGAGATTTGGAAATGTCGAAGTTCATTTCTTAAACTTACCTCGCCAGGAGTGACAACAAGGGGCTGCTTATCTGTGGAACTGACAATGAGATCTGGGATATGACTCTCCAGATAGTTGTACCTGTAAGAAAAATTTTGGCTTCATGCTCGTAAGCAATACAACTTCCAGTGTGCATTTTACATAAAGTCATGAATCGCAGGCATATTGCATGTTGATCATTTAACCAAATAATCTGATTAGTTATGTGCGCTGAAGTTGAAAGGAGCTGGATGTTTGACAAGTAAAAGTGGTAATCTACAATCTACCAGAAGCAAAATCACATAAGATGAGTCTGACCAACTTATTAATATAGCTTCATAACTCATGCTTAGGAAACACAAACCTTTTTTCAATTACAATAAGAGTTGATGATGTATCACAATTCAAAGAGTGTGTTGAGTTTGGTGGAAGATAAGCATAAGAATCCACCTGTAAAGATATTTAAAGTGCAGTCAGGATTCATGACTTCATTGAGAGACCAATAACAACCAACTTATGTAAAGGATAAGAAAGAAGTAAAGTTCGGGTCAGCGTAAAATATTTCTACTACAGGAGCCTAGCAGATTAACACATGGGAGTCAAGTTTTCCACACAAAGCATATAAAATGCCGTTTTACATGTAAAGCTTTTTCTTCTTCCTTCATTATCACGTCTATAAACTATCACAGACCTACAGACTGTAGCACAAGAATATAATCTGTCACAAAGATGATGATAGTTTACTTACATTCAAACTGTGGGTGACTCCTGAAATATCAGTGAGCAATACTGCACCATGAACCACAAATATGAACCTGATTGTGAAAATACAAATGTGCAGAATGAATTCAGTCAAGGCAAGAGAAAATTAAAAATGCATGTTTGTAAACAAACCAAACTTATTTGCGGCCCAAAATCGCAGAAGCATATATACCTCTCGACATCCCTTGGTGGAATCCCTGATTTCGAATTTTCTGCATGAAAGAGTAAACACAGGTCAAATCCGTATGGAACAAAAAAATGGCTTAAGCTCATTTTACAAAAAGAATAACAGAACTGGACATCTCGAAATCACAAGATGGGATACAATCTGCACCGTACCTTGCATTTTCGCCAAGTACATAACAAAATGTGAGCCCATTGCAGGTGTTATAAGATAAGCACCCAATGTGTTTGTCCTATCAAACCAACATTAAAGGAATATTATTTAGGATAATAGGATTCAACTATTGAAAACTCAAGCAAGTTAACAATGCTTATTTGGACGTACCAATAGGGTAAAGGGCCAAACATATGACTTTCAGGAGAAATCAACGCATGATCCCTTTTGTACACACTGCGAGTAAAACCTGGCAAGTCTGCCAATTGTAAAAATGAAAAGCTTAGTTTAGTTCTTGGGTTTGCAATATCTCCATCTCTTCACAAACTGGCACTTGTCAATTAATCAAATTCCTCAAAATCCCACATCAATAACTGGATGTTCAATACAGATACTACAAATTTCAACTCACGAGGGGGAAAATGAACGAAAAACAGTATTGATCGAGAAAAATCAAAATTGCTTTGTTCACAGACCTTGAAGATGCGCAGGAGACAAAGTGGGATTGGTAACTTTCCAATAACGTGGTTGATCACTGGAGTCAGCACTAGTCAAGATTGGTGGTGCAGAGCACAACCCTTCTTGAGAAAATGAAACCATCAAATTACCTGAAGACAAAATTTAAACTTGGTCAAAAGCAGAGAAATTGGCATCCAAGTTTTCGATTTTTAAGCAATGGAACAGTAACCCAAGAAACATAGTTCCATATTACCCATGTTAATGGCCAGAAGGAAGTAGAACAGAGCTGAAAATCCTAAGAAAGATCCCATCTTTGATCTTTGATATGCTGTTGATGGCTTCCGCCTGTCAGAGTCAGTTCTAACTATTTGCTCATAACTTCAATATCAGCTTACGGTGATCTTCTGCTGACTGTGAGTGAGTGTGTGAAGTGTGTGCATTTTCTGGGCCTTCATTGAACTTATTTCCGGCGAGTGACTGGAAAATTGACCATTGAACATATAATTTTGAATATTCCCAGTCTGCGCCATATTTGTTGCTTATTTTATCAGAGGCAATGGCGTGTACTGTGCTTATTTTATTCAGAGCCAAGCAGAGACATCCCCCAAAGAAATCTTTTAATGGTCACATTTCACAACTACAGTCGTATAATTTAAGTGACACACATTTCATATATATATATATAGAAATTGTCTTCAACATTTGAAAGATAAAAAGAATATTGCAACTGAATCCTGCAGCGTCCTCATTAGAGCAACCACACTGGATAACACCAGTGTGGTTGAAAAAGTGGCCCCGTTTTGCCACGTGAGACTGACTTGAACCTATTACCTTATGTACTCTACCAGTGTGGTTGAAAAGGTGGCCTCGTTTTGCCACGTGAGACTGACTTGAACCTACTACCTTATGTACTCTTTGCTTTGCTCTATTGATTTTACTTCAAAAGGTAATATGTATGATCCATATGGAAGAGGCATATGTTTTACTTTTGAAAGAATTTTTTTTTATGTATTGCCAACCATTGATTTATGCAAGTTGACTCATTGATTGACCAAAATATCAGTAATTTAAAGGTAAAAGATAGAAGTGCGGGAGTTTCTTTATCTACGCACCACACTGGAATAGTTGGCCTTCACTTATGTGCCAGTTACAAACTTCTTTTACCTTGTTTCAGTGTGGTGCGTAGATAAAGAAACTCATGCACCTCTGTCTTTTACTTGTAAATTGCTGACATTTTGGTCAATTACTGGACCAACTTGCATAAATCAATGGCTGGCCAATACATAAAGAAATAAAAAAAATTCTTTCAAAAGTAAAATATATGCCTTTATACATATTACCCTTTGAAGTAAAACCAGTAGAGCAAAGCAGAGAGTACAGAAGGACGACACTTTATCGGACCAGGACACGTGGCCATTCTGAAATTTCTGAAAGCATACTAAGCCAAGATGAAAATACTATGACTAGCTTAGGCGGGAAAAGGAAGCATCAAAGGAAGACACGTGGACTTGAAGGGGGGGAGGGGGGAGAGAATGGACGGGAATACCTGTCTCAATCATTCTATTTTAGTAGTAGGAATGATTAGTTTTGAAGGTCAAAACTAACGAGGCGCTTGGTTCATGGGTTTCAAATACTTAGAATGAAATTTTTAGATTTGAAACCCAATTTTGATTGCTTGGTTCAAATATTGGGAATATCTCGGGCCCACTAAATTGAGTTTGAAAGGCATAAAACCATTCCCAACTAATTTGGTGGATATAACTTGCCAATTGGTTTTTCTCCTTCTTTGCCTTCTATCCTTTCTGGCTTTCTCCTCCGTCTCCAACTTCAATCTTTTCCTTTCTTTTCTTTTTTTTTTCTCCTCACTCTCACCACCATCAACAACAGCCGATTTCTTCTCGATATTCTCTACGCCACCATCGTCAACAACAACAATCGTAATCAACAACAACCAACTCTATCAATTATCAAAAACTCTTCCCGATCCTCTCTCTTCCCGTCAAAATATCATGGATTTGCCTCTCTTTTTTCTTCTTTCTCAGTCAAATTCATTTTTTTTTTCGAACTGACATAAGACAGCAAGAATGTATTCTCTAATGGGCATAACTAGTAAAAAAAATTTGTCCAATTTGGGGTATAAGAAGTATCCAAAAAACAGAAAATTTTCATAGATTTAGTTTTCTCCAAAACAAAAATTCAAGAATGTAATTTGATTTCTACAGGGGGCAATTGAGATGGTGGCAGCACCTGTTAATAGAGTAGGAGAAGAGTGAAGCAATGTAGGAGGAGAAAGAGGGGAGATGGTGGTTTGGTGCGGCTGGCGGTTATGGCAGGAGCTTGAAGTGAGAAATGTATGGAAGAAATAAAAGGTACTCCCTCCATTCCAAAATATATGTCGTTGGAGAAAAACCAAATTTTTTCAAAATAGATGTCGTTTTTGCATATCTAGGCATATTTTGTCATCTTCTTCCAACATTGCCCCTACATTGGAAGTTGTAATTGTATTTAAAATAGAAGTGTATTAGAACTAAATGATATTACGAATAGAATTGTATTGAGAATAAATGAGGGTAGTTTAATATTTTGACTAAATATTTATTGTCTCCTTAAATTTTGTAGAAGATAAGAACATAAATGATATTTTACAAGTATTCCCATCTAAAAATTTTCTGTAACCAAGCACTATTAATGAATCCAAGATGATTCAAAGTCTTCCAATGCATTCCTTTGCATTCCAAGGTTTCATTCCATATACATGAACCAGACACTTTCTAAAGATTTGGATAATTCTACTGGCCGGTCAACGCTAAATAATTTTAATTCTACCACAATGAAATAGATAAAGGGTCAAATTGCAAAGTTGTAAAAACGTCCAAATCAATTTTTCCAAAAACCCCTCTAGGGTTTATGATGACCGTTAAACCCCCACTCTGTTAAAATTCTTCTTCCATCTTCCCCACCAATTCAATGGAAGTCATCATGAATTCATTATTAACCAGCTTCCGGCGAGTTCCGCCGGCGGCCATTCCGGTGATGCTAGACTGTATTCTGAGTTCCACTAACTTTTCACCATCCTCGCTTTTTTCCTCTTTGCTCAGTGAATTTCCGACCATTGCTAAGGTAATAACGCCCTTTTTTCTTCACGGAATATCTCTCTGTTTTCTTTTAATAAAATGGTTGTTCTCCACCTTTAAGTTCTTTGTTAAACGACGGGGAAAAAAGAAGCTCATTTCACTTTGCAAACTTGCTCTATTTGATCTTTAGGCAAATCTGGATTCTTTTTTTTTTTTTTTCATTTTTTATTTTTTGTATGTATTCTTATCTGTATTCTAGTGGCCAAGAAGTCTTATCTGTTTGCAATTTTTTTCACATTGCTTTTTTCTTCTAGGAAATCACAGAAGAAAGTAATGGGGTGCTTTCGGAGCAGCCTTGCTGTGTTGGCTCTTATGTTTCAGCATTATGTCATCTTCTGAAAAAATCTGGTATGCTGAGAGTCCCAACTTCGATAATGTTTTTTGAATTGCATGTGAAGGTTTCTTAGGCGGGAAAGATGAAATTTTGGTGTTTAATCAATGGAATTATGCAGGAAGAGGAAGTTTCAACAGAATCCTAGCTGGTATCTTGTTGTCATTCTTAAACATGATTTTGCGTAGCCTACTCTTTATTTTTCTCTTCGCCTTTTACACTCCTACTGCTGCTCATGAAGAGCTAGACGGGTTAATATTTGCTCTGAATAAGAAAGAAAATCTTTATGAATGAGAGCTTTTAAGAGTCAGTCCTGGTCCCAGTGCTCAGGTTGCAATGCTTTTTGGGCTCCATGGATCTGCATTCTATTAGTTATTGCTTTTAAAATGCTTTTTGACGAAAATTGTCTCTTTCTCCTCTAGGGGCAAATCTCAGTGAAATGAAGTTGTTTATTTGGAGAATTTTGATTCCTTTTTTCAAGTTGACACATTCATCTCATCAGGAACTATTTAACGAGGTAAAATGATGTATCCCTGTATGATTTTGAGATGAACCCTATAGGTTTGAGACAATTTGGTCTCCGTACTTTTATTTCTTGTGATTTTTGGAGGATCACAATTGAATGGTTTTATGTATCTCACAACACCTTTCTTTTCTATGTATGGTTTTAAATTAGGTTGCAAGTATTTTCTTTGACACCTTGCTTGAAACAAACAGCTGGGTAGCAATTGAAGAAACCTTGGTTCCGTTTTTGTTCCGGTTGGTGGGTTCCTCGATAGGTTTGACCCAAAAAGAAGAGACAGCTTTCTTTTCATGGAGTTCTTCTCCAAGTTTTCATGGCTCTGATGACCAATGTCACTCTTCTCAGAAATGTAGCTGTGTGGGAAGTGAAATAGGCAGGGAATTGATACCATCTCAGTTTGACTACTTTCCACTTCCAGTATCTTGTGAAATTTTGAGCTTAACATTGGATGCTTCTGTACAGTGGACATGTGTACTAGATTGTACCACTGGCTTGCAAAATTTTACAAAGAACTTTCTGTGGGATCTATCTGATCTTTCCTTGAAGATGCTTCTACAAAGTTTAGAGCATAGAGCTTCTGCAATTAGCATTCTCCTGCCTTCTGTTCTTAAAGCATTTGGGTCGAATCCCTGTTTTGAAGTCTCTGTCCGTGGCCAGAGCTATGTGTTTAACAGGTAGAGTTTGTCCAGTTGTCAATTGCTATGATGTCTGTAGCACATTCTTTACCAATCGTTAATCCTACGATGTCTCTTTCACATTCTTTGCATCTATATTCTCAATCTTGGCCTTCATGATCATGGTTTTATGTAATCTTTAGGGAGGCTCTTGGTGAGAAAATATGGACATGCTGCAAAACCCTTTTTTCACTGGGGCTTTCAGAAAGAAGAGATGCTTTTACTGTACTCTCTCTTTATCTATCATCTGGCTCGTTGAATAGTGGAATTGAAGATGGAAATATCTTTGGCACAGGGAAAGGATTTGACTTGTCTGCTAGCGATGAGTTTTGGGATGAAGTTAGAAAAGGCTTGGTAATGAATGAGCTTTAGCATTTTGTTGACTTTTTTTATTTTATTTTATTTTTATGAGAAGTATAGCTCTATGACAGAAAATCCTTTTTCGGTCTTTCTTTCTTTTTCTGATATTGTGTTTCTGTCTTCTCTGCCCTGCTAGGTTGATGAGGAGAGCTTAACTAGAAAACAGTCACTGCATGTACTGAAATCCACTTTGAGGTTGAAGGGTGAAAGCTGCAATCCTGGCTTTTCTGATGCTGTATCAGGCCAAAAAGATTTGGTTCCTCGTGGTATGACCAAAAGGGAAAGGTGGGCCAATGAAGAAGCAAAATCCCTGGGTGTTGGAAAAATAAATAATTCCACTGAGGATAACTTGAACAGCTGGAATAGATGGGAAACTTTTACTTTTCTTTATGAAATGCTTGAAGAGTATGGCACTCACTTGGTTGAAGCAGCCTGGAATCACCAGGTACTGTTAAATCTGCCCTTAACATATTGATTCCCCATTCCCTTATTTATTTGAGAGCGCAGAAAATTCTTTTTTAGTAAGAAGCAAGAAGCTCGTTTCTATGGAAAGGGGAAGTTTGCAGACTAAGTTATGAGAAAATCAAATAATTGATCATGATGGAAAGGACAATATGCTATCAATCATCGGAATTGGCATCTGATTAAGTTCTGCTTGTCTATCTGTGGTTTCATGTTACATTTTGCAATATCTATTCATCCATTTATTGTTTATGTTTAAAGCCTACTTTTGATTCCTTGAGAGCTATGATTAATCATCTAATACTTAGATTCAATCGCTTTTTGCTTATTGGCAGATGAATTTGTTGCTCCATTCTTGTTTTGAGTCAGAAGAAAGACTGGATTCTGTTTCTGGAAAGCTGCACAGAAAGTCAAAGGAGACATGGGTTAATACTTATGAGTGGCTTCCTGTACTGTGGGAACGGGGGTTCTGTCATGATAATCCTCAAGGTAATTTCAGTAGTTTGTTCTAGAATATGTTTTAGGATACAAAAAAGCTGCTTAGTTTTTCAAATCCCAAGCATTATGGAACTGATATGTGTGTGTTCGTGTGTTTTTTTCTTTCTTTTTTTTTTTTCCCCCTTTTTGGTTCATTTTCAGTTAGGTGCCTGATCATGCAGTCATTTCTGGGAATTGCATGGAAGGACTATGGAAGCCATGCAAGCTCATTGCCAGAGGAATTCGTATTAGGTCCACTTATGGAAGCATTGAATGATCCTGTTCATCATAAAGATTTTGGTTGGTTCTGTTCTTGCAGTGAATTTTATGTGTTTAATTCTATTCACTGATATTTCTTTCAGACTAGAAGACCTAGTAATGTTTCTACCGTTTTTAATCCTTCAAAATATTTGTTTATAGGCAGTGTCTAAATTCTTCATAACTTGGTGGAAATTGATCTGTTTTTAATGTTTCTACTGTCTTGTCAATTACCATCATGACAAAGCTTACCACAAGAATTCTTATGCTCTTCTTACCTTTTCAAGGTTGTAAACAAGTCTACTCTTCCTCTACAATTGATGCTGCTGCCAGTTTCTTCTGCCAATATTGCAGCTATCTTGATGAGAGGTACACTAATGCATTTAATTTCTTGTTTTGCCAATATTGTCTGATGACTTATCTCTTTGAATGACTGATCCACTGACCCACGACCTGCAATGATGCTTGAGCCATACTTTGAATTTGTATATAATTCTAATGATTCTTTTTCTTGCAGGAAACAGGTCCCGTTTTTGAGCGACCTGGCATCAGTTGCTAAAAAATACTCATTTGGACGACCTGGATTGATGTGCCTTGCAGAGTGTGTTGCTTCAGCTGCCCATGGTATCAAACAACAGAACCCAGCAGTTGCATCCCACTGCTATGACCCTGCAAAAGTTCAGTGCAAACCTGCTGAGGGGAACCTTTGGAAGAATGATAGAGCAGATTTACTTGAGTTTCTGCGATTCATTATTGAGAGCAGTAAACAACACTTCAATCCTCATTATCGTTTTCAAGGTAGCAGTTTGGATTGATCGATATAATATTTGATTAAGATCACTTGTTATCATTATAGCCTAACCTTTTGTTGGCTTTCTAGTTTGTGAAAGGATTCTTGATGCTGCAACATTAGTCATGACTGCTGTCGATGTGCCTCTAGAGATGCTTCTCCTCTTCATTTCGTGCTTGCCTAGGGAGGTGACTGATTTGGGTGGTATGCGTTAAGTTAAACTTGAATCCAATTCGATATTTTTTTGTGACAGCGATTATGAGTGGTCAGAGTGTTGGTTCTGGACCTTCTGGTATCTGTCTCTTCTCTCTGATGCTGGTTTTACTATCATCTGTTTCCAGGTTCATTGAGGTTCAAGGTACAAAAATGGCTCTCAATTTCTGATAAGACTTCAAGCTGTAGCAATCTGAATGCAGAGCTTTTGGCAAATCTATATAGCTTTCCGAGAAACTTTGTGTATTCTCATCCAGTAGAAGCGTCTACCACGTTTGATGATGAAGATATTGACTCATGGGACTATGAAGCAACTAGATGGGCAAGAGTGCTCTTTCTTGTCAATGCACCTGAACAGGAGTGGAAAACGTTATACACTTTTTTATATGACCATGGATCTAATATCTGCAAGCAGCATAACCTTTCAGAATGGATGCCTGTAAAATTTCTTATTCTTCTAGTAAGTTTGATTCAGGAACTTCAGTTAATTCAAGATAGAGCAGCTGATGGCTCCATAGGAGACAGAATGAAGGCTGACCTGCAGCTTCTTGGCTCTACCGGTTGGGTAGATTTCACTGCTGAATCTCGGATGTTTGAGAAATTTGCCAAGTTGTTAAACTCTATTTTAGAGGAGCTTCTCTCGTTTGCCGAATCAGCCACCTCTATCTTTTGGTCTAGCCAAGTAGAACCAGAGTGCAATCTTCCCAGTCAAGTTACTGGGAAACTTGGTGGTCCAAGCCGAAGAAGGTTGTCATCTAATGTCACAACTTCCATTTTGAAATCTATTACATCCCTGAAGTCTCTGGCATCCATCACAAGGTGGTGTGTGCAATTCACAGCTGAGGCATCACTTAATTCTGTTATCACCTTTCTCTGGAACTTTTGCTGGAAGACTATCACAACTCCATCTGGTGTATCAGAAAGAGACGCAGAGATATCTTTAGGAGCATATGAAGCACTGTCCTGTGTTTTGAAAGATTTGATTACCATGGCCTCTCATTTGGCCTTTGATCTTTTCACAGGGTGTGAAAGATTTTCTGTGTTACATGCTGATGCTAAGCCTTCATTAGATGTCTTTGTCCAGTTTTTTCTCCAGAATGTTAATACCCTTATTTCAACAGGAAATCTAGTGAGAAGCCGGAGGGCAGTTCTTTTTAATTGGAAATGGATCTGCCTAGAGTACCTGTTATCTTTTTCAAAACGTGCTATTGCCAAACAATTTGGCAGTGAGAATTATCATTTCTCTGATAATACGTTAAGGTGGATCTTCTGTGAGTTAGTTGAGAGCCTAGAAAATGCTGGAGAAACTTCTGCTCTGCCCATACTAAGATCAGTTAGATTGAACATGGAGCTGTTTGCATTAAAAAGAACTGGTTTAACGGATATCTCCTGTGATGGCTTAACTGTTGACATGATGTGGAATTTGGTTAAGTCCTCTTGGATACTGCACTTGAGTTGCAACAAAAGGAGGGTTGCTCCAATTGCAGCTCTTATATCATCTGTTTTGCACTATTCAGTGTTTGGTAATGAGTGCATGCATGCAGTATATGATGCTCCTGGGCCTCTAAAATGGTTCATTGAGAAGATTCTTGAGGAAGGCACAAAAAGCCCTCGAACTGTTCGTCTTGCTGCATTGCATTTAACTGGATTATGGCTTGAAAACCCCTCAATGATAAGATATTATTTAAGAGAACTCAAGCTATTAACCATGTATGGTTCTATTGCATTTGATGAGGATTTTGAATCTGAATTAGCGGAGAACCAGGAAGCAAAGAATGAAGTATTAGCATTGTCCAAAAGCCCTGGATCAGAGCTTACTGAAGTATTTATCAACACTGAGCTATATGCACGTGTATCTGTTGCTGTCTTGTTCTGCAAGCTTGCTGACATGGCTGATGCGCCTAATGGAAATAGAAATAGCCTGGAGGCCCTAGCATCCGGGAAAATGTTTTTGCTGGAACTTCTTCAGTCTGCATTAGTTGAGAAAGACCTATCGAAGGAGTTGTACAAGAAGCATAGTGCAATTCACAGGCGGAAAATTCGTGTGTGGCAGATGATTTGTATTCTGTCCCGATTTGTCTACCCAGATAATGTGGAAGAAGTTACTTTTAGCTTGCATACAGCAATTCAAAGAAATAATTTGCCCTCAGTTCGGCAGTACATGGAGACAATTGCGATTAACATATACTTGAAGTTTCCATTACTGGTTGGAACACAGTTGGTTCCTTTGCTCAAGAATTATGACATACGACCTCAGGCTTTATCTTCATATGTCTTCATTGCTGCTAATGTTATTCTACATGCAGACATAGAGATCCAGTCGAAGCACCTTGATGAATTACTTCCTCCTATCATTCCTTTACTGACTTCACATCATCATACTTTACGTGGATTTACTCAGTTACTTGTGTATCAGATTCTTCAGAAATTAAATGCCCCTACTGACGATTCGGTATTTTCTCTAGCTACCTTGACATTGGAGAAAAGGTGCTTTCGGGATTTACAATCTTATTTGACAGAGAATCCAGACTGTGCACGTCTAAGAACTTCAATGGAGGGTTATCTTGATGCATTCAACCCAAAGACCTCTATTACACCGGCAGGAATCTTCATCAATAGAGTGGAGCAAGAATTTGAGTGTGTGCCAAAGACTCTTATGGATCAAGTGACGACATTTTTGAATGATACTAGAGATGATCTCAGAATCTCAATGGCCAGGGATGCAGCTATTATCAAGAATGAGGGCTTATTTATTCATGAGCAGAGCAATATTTCTGATATAGCAATAAACTCCAGTAAAGTTGTTTCTAAGATCAATCAACAAGATTTGTTGTTGGATTTTCAGAAGAAATTTACCCTGTCCAAACATGAAACGCAACCAGCTACTGCTTTTTCAACTGAAGGTGGTAAATCTTTAAAAACACTTGCAGATATGGAGAAAGAAGATCAGTTACTTGATCAATTGCTGCATTCAGGGAACATAGCTGTGCAAAAGTTGAAAGCAAGCCGGCAGCATTTGATAATTGTTGCATCATTGGTTGATCGGGTTCCAAATCTTGCTGGGTTGGCACGGACTTGTGAGGTATTCCGAGCGGCTGGATTAGCCATTGCAGACAAAAGCATATTAAATGACAAGCAGTTCCAACTCATTAGTGTAACGGCAGAGAAATGGGTTCCAATTATAGAAGTTCCAGTTAGCAGCATGAAAAGTTTTCTTGAAAAGAAAAAGCATGAGGGTTATGCAATCTTGGGTCTTGAGCAAACTGCTAACAGTAAGCCTCTTGACCAGTATGCATTCCCCACAAAATCTGTTCTGGTCCTGGGCCGGGAAAAGGAGGGTATACCTGTGGAAATAATTCATATTCTTGACGCATGCATTGAGATCCCACAACTGGGAGTTGTTAGGTCACTGAATGTTCATGTTAGTGGTGCCATTGCTATATGGGAGTATACGCGACAGCAGAGGTTATTGTCGTGATCACTCGAGTAATTGAAAATCCATAGTTGAATTCATTTGATTCAAGTATTTGATTTCTGTACTTGGTCGGCATGGGATCTTTAACTACTTAGTTGTTTATGACACCATTTCTTACACATTAAAGATACTTCTATCCAAGGATTTTGTAAACTGGTTATAGTAATTTGTGTGTATACTTGCTACAGTGGTGAAAGGGATACAGCTCTGTACTATTACTATGCTATGAAATCATTCAGTTTGAAACAGTTTAATATGCCGGATCGATGTTGTTTTCAGTATCAAATAGTATTTGAAGTTTGCTAAAGGGTCTGTATAAATATATCTGTCTGGGAGTCCGTACTTATTGTAGCTCAAAGTTGATACTTGTTATGTTTTAGTTCTGCTCGTGTTTTCGTGACTCTGAGTAATAGATAGTTATGGAGTGAGAAACAACTTATCTTCACACCAAGTTCATTTTATGTCTTCTCCTTGATTTATGCTGTTGACCTTAATGTACTTTTGCTGATATCTTTTCGCTGCTGTAATCCAAATCTCGATCATTTTAGTCTTGAGAATGAGAGGAGGGGCTGGCCAACTGCACGATTGGGGTGGTTTGGAAACGAGAAAGACATGGAGGGTCTTACATAATGCATGAAAATGAACAGCTTCATTTGGTCCATGACCTAATTGATGTAAAACTGTGCTTCACATCTTTAAGAGGCTTCTCATATATCAAGTTCACCATAATTCATCAAGCATTTCATTTGCTTCATAAATACCATGGGACCTCTATCTCTTTTTATGCTGCTCATCTTCTTCATCAATTGTCCAGAAACCATTTCAACAGACACGAAGGTTTACATGGTTTTATTGGACAAAGCTCCTGCTGTGTCTAACGAAGTATCGGAACTGTTTTTGAGGTAACATTTCGTTACCTTTTACAGAGGGGGTAGGAGTGCTGATAAGGCGAATAATAGCTTCTTTTGCTAATTTATTTAGTTTTGCCATTGATTTTCTAAAATTGACGATGCAATCTTTATGTAGGAGTCAGGAAGAGACTAAAAGCTTCAAGGAGAGGATGGGCAAAGAGCATGACATTTTTCTTGAATCTCTATTATCCACAAGAAGATACACTAAACTTTACAGCTACACACATCTATTGAATGGATTTGCAGTCCAGGTTCAGTCTGCCAATGTATGTCATATCAGGCCTGCATGTTACCTTTGTAAACTCTCCATGGATATACCTATGTAGTATCTTTACTTGTCTAGGTTAAGTATGCATTCACTTTTATTCATACAAGTGGAAGATAAAAAGACTTGCAATTCCATTTTCTTTTGGCTCTGTATATGTGGCAAAATGAACCAGTCCTGCTCATGAAAGCTACCCTTCTTTTCACAAAAAATATATGTTTTTTCTTTGTTTATAGCATGACAGAGTTAAAAAATGTTGTTTTTATAGGATATCGACATCCTACGGAATGCAGAAGGTGTTACACTTGTCCATGAAGACATGAAAATGCAGAAATTGACAACTCACACACCTGACTATTTGGGTATTGCTAATGGGGTTTGGCCAAAACTAGGGGAAGCTGCGACTTCAGGGGAGGGAGTAGTAATTGGTTTAATTGATACAGGAATAAATCCTTCCCATCAAAGTTTCATGATTGAATCATTAACTGAAGCCAGTAAGGGCATATTTTCAAGACCTTCAAAATATAAAGGAAAATGTGATATTGGAGATCAGTTCCCTCCATTATCTTGCAATGGTAAGATAGTTGGGGCACAGTATTTTTCAAGAGCTGCCGTTGCTGCTGGTGAATTTAACGCTACCCGTGACTATGCTTCTCCTTTTGATGCTGATGGTCACGGAAGGTAAACTAATAGCAGTGCATCACCTGTATCAGAGTATTTTCACTCTATATTAGCACCATATTCTCTCGATGGCATTGGATTGCTGTTGGGTTGATTTAACCGTATGTTGATACTGGTTCTGCATTTTTACATTTTTGGTTGAATTTTAACAGCCATACGGCATCAACAGCAGCTGGAAACCACCAAATTCCGGTGATGGCAAACAACTTCAATTATGGTTATGCCAGTGGTATGGCTCCAGGAGCAAGGTAATACAGATATGCTTTTGTTTGAACCTGATGCATATCTGCTTAGTTTTCAAACTTACATCTATTTGGTTATTAAGACTAAGTTTACATTTCATCCAGCACAATAAGTACATTTAATCTTTGAAGTTTTCTTCTTTTGCAAGCAGGGTCGCTGCTTATAAAGCTCTTTATGCTTTTGGAGGTTATATGTCCGATGTTGTAGCTGCTGTAGATCAGGTTTATCAATGGATTTGGAATTTCTGAAGAAGTCTTAAGTGTCTACCTTATTTGAATGCTAACTTTGGTGAAACAGAAATGACTTTTTCCAGTTTTGTCTTGTACAGGCAGTGGAAGATGGTGTTGATATACTAAACCTTTCTGTAGGGCCATCAAAAGTCCCATCAGGACCTTCTGCTTTTCTGAACCTCTTAGAATTGGAGCTGTTATTCGCAACCAGAGCAGGCGTGCTTGTCGTTCAAGCTGCCGGAAATGGAGGGCCTTCTCCCAGTTCTATGCTTTCCTTTAGTCCATGGATCACAACTGTAGCTGCATCTATTACTGACCGCAAGTACAACTCCTCTATTAAACTGGGCAGTGGTCAGAGCCTTACAGGCTCGGGACTTGCACGTAGGTTTACTTGCTAGCCAATACTTTTTTCTTTTCCTTCTTCCCTGTTTTTAATCAGTTTTCTGAAATTTCAGAAACTCTCTATCACTGTGTTAAGATGTTCTAACTTCCTTCTTTATGCTGCAGCTCCAACAGTTGGAGAAGTGTTCTTTCCTCTAGCCGCAGCAGCCGATGTTGGAGAAAGAAACACCACAAATGGCCTGTTAACAGTGGAGAGCTGTCAAAACCCAGATCAGTTTGTGACCTCCTTGGTTCGGGGAAAGATAATAATATGCACATATTCATTTGATTTCGATACCGAGGAAACTAGCATTGCTGCTGTTGCAGACACTATACAAAAAATTGGTGCTGCTGGATTTATTCTTACAATGAACCCTGATATGGGTTCAGAGCAGATAAAGAGTGCCATAGAAACCTTACAAGTCCCTGGTGTCATTTTGAACAACATGGAAGCCTCTTCGGTATCCAATCACATGCATTTTAATCTTTTGCATTCTTTAGCAGTAAAAGAAACGTGATCCAGTTTTCATTCAACCTGGGGACTAACAATTCTGAAGAAAGTTCTGTGCATCCTGAAGAATATTGCATTTTTCGAAATTTGAAGTGCTTTTATCTTTGCAAAAATTTTGTTTTAAAAAATTGAGGCCATCTGAATCCTTCCAAATGATACTTCACAGTAACAGAAAGAAGCAAGTGATGTTTGGATTGACTTCCATGCTGATTTTTGCTACATGACTGATTCATAACAGCATACTCATATGTCAACATAATGAAACATGTATCAGGGATGAAACAGTATATGGTGTTCTGACGTTGGATACACAATTTTCTGATGCAGGCTCTGTGGGAATATTATAATTCAAATACAATACGGAGTAGAACTGGGAGAGCGATTGGCTTTCGAGCTACAGCTAGAATTATGGATGGACGGCAAGCAATTTACACAGGACAAGCTCCAATAGTTGCATCATATTCATCAAGAGGTCCAGATGTTAATAATGAACATTTGGAGGCTGCTGATGTCTTGAAACCAACTATCATGGCTCCAGGTTCCTCAATATGGGCTGCGTGGAGCCCGTACAGTGAAGGAGATGCACATATCAAAGGTTTCAGATCTCTCTTAACTTCCAAATCGTAGCTAGGTCAATTGAATGCTGAATTAACTCCATATTTCTTGGTATGCGGGTCCTTTAATCTTGGTTGGTGTGACAATCTGGTATATGTTTAGTATCCTAGTTATCTTAAGATGATTGGAAACGCATAAAAGCACAAAAACTTGTTGATCTACGATTAAAGATCTTACTGAAACTCAATGAGTTAACAGAAATCCAATCCCTCTTCTAGGTCAGTATTTCGCACTACTGTCTGGAACTAGCATGGCAGCACCACATATTGCCGGTATTGCAGCTCTGATCAAGCAAAAACATCCAGATTGGAGTCCTGCTGCCATTACATCAGCAATGATGACAACAGCAGATGTGGTTGATCAAAATGGCGCTCCGATACTAGCCCAGCAAACTAACCAGCTCTCTCACGCAACTCCCTTCGACTTTGGTGCTGGTGCTGTCAATCCCTCTCGAGCAATGGATCCTGGACTTGTGTTTGAGGTCAACTTCAAGCAGTATGTCGATTTCTTATGCTCGGTTCCAGGTGTCGATGACATGTCTGTGAGACAAGCTGTTGGCATTGCCTGTCCACCTCGGAAAAAATGGTGCTCAGATTTGAATACACCAAGTGTGACTGTTTCCAGTTTGGTTGGATCAAGAAGGATTCTTAGAAGGGTCACAAATGTTGCTGATGAAGCCGAAAAGTACATGGTTGTGGTAAGGGAGCCCTTGGGGGTGAAAGTTACAGTTATTCCAGAATCTTTCAAGATCAGTCCCAATTCTTCAAGACACCTAACAATCATCTTGAATGCAACTCAGACAACAAATGCTTATACTTTCGGCGACATTCAATTTCTGGGAGAAAATAAACATGTGGTAAGAATTCCATTGGCTGTCTTTGTAAGTAGCACTATAGGATCATCATGAAGTCAATCTCCTCAAAGCAGTCTATTAGGACTATTATTAGATTAGCATATCAAATTTACATCTAGCTTAATTTCTCAAATGTCGTATGACTTCTTTTTCTCTGTTTCCCATATTGTACTGAACGTAACACCATAATAAGAAAGCTGTCATACATTAATTTCAGGGAATTCTTTGTGCAGAATTATTTTTTGATAAACATTTTAGCAGCATTATAGAAATCAGGTAACCTTTCATTAAACAAACATGTGGATTAAGGAAAGAGAGAAACTACAGTTTCTTTCTGTGAAAGAAAAGAATTACATATCACTAAGAAGAAATGCAGAAGATACATTTGAGCTCCTAGTTTTATTGAAAGCCATCATTAACATGTCCACAGCAGGTAAGTCTTTTCTACTGATACTTCCCACGCGATGCAAACAATTTTGAAGTGAATCCTCCTTTCTTCTTTACCTGTAGAGAGAATGTTGGTGAGATAAATCGAAAATCAACTAAATCTTCCAGTTTTTTGTTTTTAACTCATAGCAACTAAATGACTAATTATACGAGAGATGATCAAAGTAAAATCTGATTGTCGATTAAGTACCCGAAAGCTCTTCACAATGGCTTTAATCTTTGTAGTTGTGGATCCAGGACTTGAAGCCTTCTTTCTCTTCTTTTCTCTTTTGTGACGCGACTTCAAGAAAGCTCTAATAAAACCCGGAATCAGCAATTTCCAATTTCCCAGGCATGTTGGAGTTGCAGAATTTGTTCGCTTCTTCTGAACTGGAATTATCTGGTAATTTTGAATCATCATTAAGTTAGCATTTATTTTGAGTGGTGTTCTCTCTTGGATGTTTAGAAATTTGCACTCGAACGATGTACAATCTCCTTTCAGAAGGGATACAGAGGTCTGAACAGTTTACAATGCCATTTGTATTAAGAGAATCTTCTGTTTGGGAAAACATTAATGATGCAGATGAATACATAGGTTTTGACATAAGCTAGTACTTTTTTCATCCCAGAATTAGTTCAACAAAATGGATTATTTTTCTGAGACGGATGGAGCACTATATTTGATTGCTTTCTACATCATGCATTTCTAAAATAATCGTATGCGTTGACACCTAGCCATTATCATTGAATATTTTAGTGTCACTGTTTCGTTTTAATAATGAACTTTCCCAAAGCTTTTTCTTAATCAAGAAACAGTCTTTGGTTTTGTCAACTTTTTCCTCAAGGATCAGTATCAGAATTTCTTTGTTCGCTTTTTTTTTTTTTTTTTGAGATTGATGTTTCCTATGACCTAGAGATAAAATCATTGGTAAAAAATCAGATGAAGTTGATTTTTTTCACCTGAGTCATAGGTGGTTGTTGGCTATGATGATGAGAAACAGGCAGTAAGGGAGTGGATTGCTGAGACCTAGCCGATTCTCGAAGTTGCCTCGAGTACTCGAGAAGGTGAGCTTTTCTATCGTATCCTCGATTATGGCAGACATTTTTAGCCTGATGAAGGTGAAGGTGATGGTGGTGGTGATGATGATGATGATGCTGTTGACGATGGTTGTTTGACAGCAAATTTTTCCTTCTTGGCTTCTCTACATATACGGCCACCCATACTCGCTTCTCCCGGCGAACTGTTGCCTAAGGTAAACATGAATGCATAAGATGATCAAATCAAAATCCCTTATAGAATAAAGATTCACCATGACAAAAATGCAAACCAGGACTTACCATGGTGCAGATGTTGAAGAGGAAGGAGTCAAAGTTTGCTGATGTTTAATGTAGGAAGTTTGCAGGAAGAGTGGTTGTTTGAAGAGAGTGACTGAAAATCTGTTGGTTTTATGATGAAATCTTGGCAGGCCGAAAGATCTTTTTGCTACTTTATTGAAAATGGATCACATAGAATAGTGGTTAATTAGTTTGCTGTTGTTTTATTTGATTAATTTGCTTTGGATATATGGAAACCGAATGCAGATGTTTCTGTATCTGTTCTTCCAAACATATAATCCAAATCTTCTTGATTAAAATATGTCCGAAATCTCAAATAACACATATGGAAAGAAGGGTGAATCATGGAAACAATGGAGATTTGGCCAATGAAGTTTACCTGAATATTGAATGTAGTGATGGATTTTTTTTGGGTGTGAAAACTTGACCAACTCATACCTTTGTCTACAACTCCCTCCCTCCGGTCCTTATTATAAGGCATTTTGATTTTGATTTAGGTTTTACTTATAATAAGGACAGGAGGGAGTACTACATATATTAAACCTGTGCTTTCGGAACAAATCGCAATCCCAACTCCACATGTCAATTTTTTCTTTCCTTCTTTTTATCTTTGTGCTAAAGGAGGACTTTTATTAACTATATTAAGGAATTATCAATTACTATGCGTTATGCATATGCCATTTTATAATTACATCAGTTTCTAAATAAGTAAATATAATCTCTGGTGGTGGAGAATCCAGTTTAAATAGGCGACCTGGATTCAACATTCTCAAATTATCGTGTCAAAAGTGTTTGTGACAGTAAAATTTTGTCTCTACAAACAGAAGACGATGAAGCTTTTGAATTTACAGTAGTAATCTATCCTTTTTCAGAGTTGCAACCACCTAAAGAAAATGTACTTACATCATCTTTGCTCTGCAATTTCTGATGATCTTCAAAAGAAAAGGATACGGCCTTGAGTCTCTAACCATCCTACAATGAATAACTCTAATGTTACCAGTTGCATTTTCGCAACCAGGACTAATAAAATTATTATAATTATCTATGTTCTGCAGTATCATCTTCTATTGTTATGGCATTGTCATGAATTGGACTTGTAGGTTGTGTTGTTGCTGTAGAAAACTGCCCTTCATCCTGATCATCAGTATTGTTATTATTATGATAATAAAAGCTACTTCTGCCTCCTGTTTGTGGACTCTCCCCTCCTGCTTCTGTAGTTTCTGCTTCATTCTTCTTCAGAGCCTGGAATAATAAAGGCGGATCGTTAGTTTTTTGTTCTGTTGATAGCTTTGCAGTAAGAAACTTTTTCAATGTCACATTTCACAAAATTAAAAACATATCATGATCTATTCTGGCTAACTACAAGTAATGATGGTTTACTTACTAATGCACTTTATGGGTTACCTGCTGGGCTGATGATGATTCTGCTTTTGATTCTGTTCTGTCTTCATTGAAAGTTCTTGCCAGATGAAAGAATTTCTGAATGACCGAATAATCATCAGAACTGAGGATCTCCTTGTTTTCATGCAAGAATATGAGGAAATAGATGGCAAGAGCTAATCCTGAAGACAATCCAGCTATTAGGAAAAGCCCTCTGAAACTGTCCAATGAAAGGCTATCTGAAGATGCAGTCACTCCATTGTTTTGGTCTGCACAAGTTTTCTCGTCATCCATTCGCCACCGTTGTAATATTCCTGACATCTTATCTCCCTCAGTCACATTCAACACAGCTCTCGAAACATCAGGGACCAATGGAGATCCCTTTGGAAATGCCTGCATTACAGATTAACCAAAAAAAATGAAGAATCTATTATTAGCAATGGATGTTGGATGGATGGATTGGTAAGGGGTTAAGAGTGGAGAGCAGAAAAGGCTTCACAAAATTACATTGACATCTGAGATTACAGGGGAGTACTTACAAATCCAAAGCCAGCAGTTTTGAAGGTTGGACCAACCATGGTGTATTTACTACAGTGCTGAGCTACAAAAGGCCTGATATATGGAAGTTCATCCACAATGGCGTCCACCCCACCTTTCTGGCCACCTTTGCTAAGTGCTTCGTCATACTGTTCATAGGTGCTGTAGTTTCTAAACTTGGATCCGTCAAAGTTCTTGCTCTTGAGGAGTTCAGTCACAAAAGAGCCAGTCTGGTAGCCAATGTAATCGCCATTGCTTATTAGGTCAAAAAGACCGGTGACAGCTGGTTGAAGTTGTTGAACTGTTAACATTGATGTCAGATTGGCTGTGTAACTTGATGTCAGTACTAGCACCACAAACAGCCAAACGATTACCACAAATCTCGATAAATTGCTCAACACCTTCTCCCCTGCAATGTGTTGATGGAAAAGGCCTCAAACCATGATAGTAAATCACTTTCCTTAAGGATTTATTCATCAACACCATATATGTGCTAGAGAAGGACTAATATCCTCTTAAAGTAGAGTTTTTGAAACTTAGTTGCAAAACTTTATCTGCAGAAAATGCTGAAAAAACCTTCAACAGTAATGCATAAAGGGATTTTCCATCACCCCTAATTGCAACTCTTCAAATGGTTATTGAATCATTTGAAACCCCGAAAATTCTCATGGAAAATTGCGGACAGAAGATACTGTACACTAAAAGGAATAATTAATTTTCACTGATGGTTAATTTTGTTCAAGGACTTACTATGAGCATACACAAGAGTTGAGAAGGAGAACCAGAAAATGATTCCAACTTGCTTGTGAGGAGGGCCTTGGAACTCCTTGTTGATACGGTGTTCGATCACCCACACAACGATGCCAATAAAGACAAAAAAACCTCCAACAGTTAACCACAGGTCTTTTGTTAGAGGCTTCAAGAAAATCCACGCATTGCTTTTCTCATCATCCTTGATTCGAACAACAGTCATAACACCAGATTCTGTGTAAGGTAACGTGAAATCCACGTATTCTGATCTGTTAGCTAAAATGGTCACATCACCCACCACTGCATCATACTTCTGAAATATCAGAAGGAACTTCAGTAATGAATTAGTGAAAGCCATCATTAATTAATCAAAATTGTAAGTACTAATGCGCGAAAAATTGCATAGATATGACGAAATGGCCTTGCCTTTAGAAAGATCTGATATACAAGATCATTATAGTCTCCTGCAGGATCTCCACCGGCGTTTTCAAAAGGAATAAAATCATAAGGGACAGCATACGGGAGGGAGTTCATTACTTCTTTGAAAACTTCAATGCAGAAACCAGTGGCGATGACAGAATGAGTTGTAGGATCCCTTTCTACTTTAGTGAACTCTTCCAATCCATTCTTCACAGGAACTCCAACCCTTAATTTCTTCCCTTTTATCGGAATTTCCCACCCTTTAGGGACAGTAAGAGATTCCCCTGGCCATATCACAATGCCAAGCTTTTCATTACTGCCATCATTATCACGTTTTAGCTTATTTGAAATGCCATATGTTTTAGTCCAGAATCCAATAGTCCTCTCTCCTTTGCCAATTATATTTACAATCTGAAAGGCAGATGGCTGTAGTTGTCCATCCAAAATGTGAAAATCCCCACTTAATCCATCGAATCTTATGTTACGAAGAAATCCAATAAGCGCGGCTCCCATTTCTGAACTTCCTATATCATCCAAGTCAGAATGGCTACTTCTTCCATTTACATTTCCCCCCTTGAATCCCGGAATAGCCACACTGTCGATTCTCTCTGTTGCAATTGCTAATGCAGTCGCACTATCATACGCCCATAAACCATAAACATTAAGCTCAAACACATCCACTTCAGGGTGGTCCTGCTTGAACCTTTTCCTCCACCTCCTTGTAAAGTTGTTGACTTTATCTGATCCAGGGAAATAAGCCTTCAATCCAAGAACACCTTGCATCGAATCAATAACCATCGGGTCAACAGAATGATCTATTAGAGTTGTGAGAGTCTCTGTGATGATCCAAGCATATCCTGAGTTCATCATTCCAACTCTTTCGGCATTGATAAACAGGCGAGAAGCCAGAACCGGCAACAGATGCACCACGAAGACCCTTGTCTGCATACTCATTAACTTAGACAGCTCTTCAAGAATCTGATCATCAGTAGCCGAAACAGTTATGGCACTTCGATATGGAACTGTCGCACCGCTACTGTTCAACAATGACTCGGTCAAAAAGGGAACTATTCCACTGCCATAAACGCTGTCCTCATACACAATAACAACTTGTCTCCAGCCATAAGCCTTAACAATGTCAGCTATGGCTTCTGCCTGGAAGGATGCACAATGCGCTGCTCGGACGAAAAATGGAGATTCTTTAGGTGAAAGTGATGGGCTTGTGGCTGGAGAAACAATAGGGACTTTAACTTTGTTACCAAGATCAATAACAAAATGTGCTTGTGTAGACCTTTGTGGACCTAATATAACTTGTACTTTCACATTTTTCAGAAGGTCTATACCTGAAAAACATAACAAACAGTACTTTTGAATCATTCCAAGCCAATATAAAAGAGAAACAAGACAAAGATTTTGAGTACCTGCAGAAGCTGCTTCTATTGCATCAGATTTTGAGTCTCTGATAAGAGGGACAAGCCTGAATTTGGTTTGGTTGTGAGTGGCATAAAAATCTTCAAGTGCCATGAGCATACAAGTTTTGCTAATCTTTTCAACTAGAACATCTGAATCAACAATTATCCCAACATCAACCTTCTTTGCAATTTCAGCATTTGCCACGAATGGCGGCTGCACAACAAACCAGCAAACCGCGACAACATAGAAGTAGAATTTGTACATCAGGTTCTGCATGGAATCAAGTTAATCATACAGTTCCAGGGTATCATCAATTTTCAAATTTATTGATGGAGGATCAAGTGTGTACTCTGTGTGTGTGTGTTTTTTTCCTTTCAAATGAACCTCATTGTGTTTCCGTATGTTGAATAACTAGCAACAAGAAGATTGAATTGTGCAAGTTACACAATATTTGAATTTTTGACTAATCAAAGATGACTGCTGGTCAGATTTTGTCACAGTTCAGACACAAGTCTCCTTGACAATCAGAAAATATCATTGGAAGAATGGAAGGGAGGGAAATTGCTTGTTTTTGTAGGGTAGTCTGACAGTGTAATTACATCCAGATGGTCCATCTTATACAGACCACACAATAACAACAGCTGGAGTTTAATCATACTCTTCCAATCTTCAGTATATTCATATAATGTGAACAGGGGATTTGACTAGTACCAAGTTGACTTTCATATGACTGTTAGATAAGTCAACGTTAGCATTTCCAAGTGGTTTGGAGAGCAAGATTCTTCTGACTCATGCCCTCAGCCGAGTCGCAGTTGCTAGAGTTGTTAAGGCGGAAGCGAAATAACCGACAAATTTCAACCTAAGAAGCAGCTCTGCTACGGGAATTGGTTTGGATTTAAGAAGCTTTCTAAATAATGTAAACAGCATCGGTTTAATCAGAGGATTTATTCTTCGATTGTCATTCCTTTATGAACTCAGCTGGAAGGCTTTCCTTCTTATGTCATGTTCAAGCCAAATCATTAATGGGATGGTTCTGCAAGATGTATATCCAATTTTGCCCGCCAGGTGACAAGCTCAGTATCATGACAACAGATAAACTCTCTCTTTTTTGGAATAATAAAAATCATAAATTCCTTAAAATACGGTTTAACTATTTGATTTGATGTAACGATGTTTTCAAAAAATTAAAAAATAAACCAAAACTCAGCTTTCTTAGGATTGGATGGTTAGGGTTTCCTGTATAAATTTCCAGCCTCTCTCGATCCCAGATCAAAGAGTCATCAATGATGGAACCACCACTGCTCCTTCCCGACGAATTGCATCGGGAGTGACGAAGCATGGATCTGCACTAATGTCTCCGATTGGTTGAACCGGCGGCCATGGCAGAGTCAAAACCCTAAAATCTACAAAAGAGGGCCTCGGAGTCTCCTGAGGGTAGACACTTCGATGCTTAAGTCAGTAAGAGTAATTGTTAATAGCGTATGAATTGTGGTGCGTAGAGCGTACCTTTAACCATGAGGGGTTGATCCCTATTTATAAAGTTAGGTTATGGAACCCTTTCTTGGTAGGAAAGTAATTAGGAACCGACCTAGAAGCTTCCAAAGGCCGGTTGGACCTTTTACCGTACTAATTTGGACTCGTCAAGTGCCCCTTATCAAGCCTATACTTTGAAGTCTGAAGATAGGATATGCTTGATAACGTGGAGTATATAGTTTCCTCAAGTTCGGAAAAAATTGACTTGGATCGAGAACCTGTGACAGGTTAGCATCGAGGAGAAATTAAAGTAATAAAAGCATTAGCACGTACCTTGTCGAATGCACGTATCATAAAGGGCGATTGACATTTATGCCAATTTGTGACGAAAAGAGAGTCATCAATTCAAACTTTCGAGTGAGAAGTCTATAGGTGATGATCTCAATAATCTGCCCCATCGAGATACTAGAGCAGATGTCCTGTTGCTTGATAAGATGATAAAGAGGACAGTGGAGATTCCCACTACTGTCATTGATCCAGACGTTAGTCGAGAAACCATCATGTGATGATCTTCACAATCTGCACCAAAGAAATATTGAGGTAAACGTCCCGCTCCTTGAGAGGATTATAGAAGAAGAAGTAGTGGAGATTCTGACTATTTCATATATAATGGTGTGTTGTCAATAACCGGCAGAACAAGGAATCTGCTCGAAGACTATAATGCACACTTCTGATCGAGAGGCATTAACTCCAAATCTTGAGAATAATAACTGAGAGGTGATACTGAATAGCATCGTGAATAGAGGCAAGAGATATGCCTAAATGAGTTCAAACACATGAATCTCGAGGACTTCGAGAAGATAATCTCGAGAAGGAGATGTCTGGCAATACTATGTTGAGAACCAAGAGGGAAGATGTAATAGACTGTGATTATTGACATTTGTTGTTGATAACATAAGTTTGAGAAGAAATATAAGGTGGAGCTGCATGCTAAGAACTTGGCCCAATATAATCTATTGTCGAGAAGGAGACGTAGCGGAGATTCTCACTAGTCTCAAAATATACGCCATTAGCAGCGGCTAAAGTAAATCTACTGTCGAGATGAGGAGTTGACTAGAGAACTATGACATATGCTTCTGAGCGAGAGGTAATAGACCCAAACCTTCGAGAATAACCACAGAGTAGTGGATCGAGAAGCGTCATGAATAAAGACAGAATATGCCATTGATACTCGATGTCGAGGACATAAGTTTGAAATTGAACATTGTCTGAGGCTGAACTACACGTCGAGAATTTTCCCCAGTATAATCATAAGCATCCTCGATTGTCGAGGAGAGATAGAGTACAGCATAGAACACTGTAGAAGATGCCGCAAGTGATCACGTTAATGCAAGGATGGTGAGATTCGAGAAGATTCTCTCGAGTAGAATTCCAGACAAAACTCGAGAACTGCAACCATCTGACCTTGAAGAAGGTACGCAAGTACTTAAGCTAATTAATATCCGCCCAACCGACCCGCTTGCCATTTCTCATGTCCCGAGAAATAAAGCATAAAACCCTTAGTCCGGGTTTGAGAAGTATGAACCAGGTTGACGTGTCGAAATCGAGTAGATGCATAATTGCCCAAGATTCGAGCAAGAATCGAGGAGGTTTTACTTATTAGTGTGAGAAGGGACGATGCCCCAGTCTGAGCATTAAGTGTGGACTGTCAAGAATAGTCATAGGAAGAGATCTGTAAACTAATAATCATCGAAAAAACAAAAACACAACCTCCAAACACCTCCAAAACACCTTACACACTTTCCAGACACCTTATATACCTTCCAGACGCCTTACAATCTCTTATATATAAACGCTCCTCGTTATAGATAACCCCGAGCCATTACTTATCTCGGAGCCCCCAAGTCTTGGGGTGGCATTTGACAGACTGAGACTTTAGATGAGAGTGTAATTCCCGCCGCTCAATTCATCGAGGTGCCTAATCAAGAAGCCCCCATACTCGTGGGGTTTAGGAAATAAAATGGTGTCTATCAGAAGGAGGTGGATGGTAACCACCTTACAGAAGGAATAGGCATGTATTAACGAGGCACAAAGTGAATTCGAGAACATCGAGAATAAAGTCATTTTCATTCTGATGTATTGGATGATATGGTAGATCGATCCAAGAAGCATACTCGAGAACAAATCTAGTTCTCATTGAGATATAAAACACGTGTTTAGGTTTGAGGGATAGTCTTCCCCTAGTTCATGAACATGGAAATCAAGGCCTTTCTCAATACCGGATGTCGAGTACACAGCTTATGAGTTATTTGTAAAACGCTTTATAATGGTCGGATGTTAAGTACAGGTTCTTTTGCAGGCGATCCTGAAGAGGATACCTTTGTATAGACGATTCTGAAGAGAATGTATTTTTAAGAACGATCCTGAAGAGGAAATCCACGAGGAAATTGGGTACGAGCTCCTTGATTTGAATGTCCGGATGTTAAATACACGGGACTTACGAGGACGGTCCCGATGAGGATGTCCAACTCGAGAACGGTCCTGAAGAGATGTCCGTTCAAATGACTAGTCATGTTTAACTGGGTGTAACTGTGTATATGAGATATAACAGCTCCCATGAGTACACGAGTGGGCTACCACTATGTGCATTAAGCCGATGGCCTATATCTCGGGTTTGAAGTATAAATGCCCTAAGGTCAAAGCGAAATTGACGTTGCTACTATCCTCGAGGGATCAACTGTGTGCCCCGGAGTTCTTGGGGTATGCTTATCTTGCAACTTAGTCTGAGACATGTATTGCAAGTATAATAATAATGGCATGTCAACTGAAAGATAGTGAGAAGTTAATCTAATAAGCACATAAAGGCTCTCGGACCTTGATAATGTATATATTGGCTCTTCGATCGAGGATGCATATTCGAAGGGATCATTCGAGTGTACCTTAGTCTCGAGGAAGTATTCACTTGAACTCTTCGATAATAACTGCCGAGGACACATTAATCTGATGGTGATGCTTCTCGAGCATGGACACCATGATCAACCAACCTGGTCTCTGATCTTAACAAAACACCTACTCATGCACTTGTAGACACTCCGATTCTTAAGTCAGTAAGAGCAATTGTTAATAGGGTATGAATTGTGGTGCGTAGAGCGTACCTTTAACCGTGAGGGGTTGATCGCTATTTATAGAGCTAGGTTATGAAACCCTTCCTTGGTAGTAAAGTAATTAGGAACCGACCTAGAAACTTCCAGAGGCCGGTTGAACCTTTTACCGGACTTGGGCCGGCCTAGTCGCGGGCCGTACTAATTTGGACTCGTCAGGGAGATCCTGAGATTGGTTCCGGTAAAATCCCTGATGAGGTTTAAGTCCGTTTGCAAGGCTTGGCTTTCAACCATATTAGATCCATATTTTCCCAAAACCTACAGTGGCGGTTCTCGAGGTTTCCTAATGCGTGAAACGAATACAACTTCTTTTAAATCCACAATACTGTTCTATCTTTTCATGGTGGATAACGGGGAGGATGATAATGACGGCCGGAATACTACTAATTGTCACGTTAATCATTACTGCTCAAACTTCCACAACCTGTCAGGATTAGGGAGTCGCGCACGCATCCAACGTCGTCAACGGTTTGATTTGCTTTTCCACTAGGGATCATATATGGCTGCACAATATTGCTACCTGTGAAACGCTACAACTCCATGTCCCGGAGCTCCCTTAGACATTTTCCGAATATATTGCCGGTGACCGCGACATGACTTACTGCCTTGGTTTTGATGCAGTTGTGAACGCGTACAAGTTGCTCTTTTTGGATCATTCTTGTCGCAAGTGTCGGATTCTGACTATTCCTCCACCTGGAGAGATACGGATCCACCTCCATCCGGTATAAGATTCGCTCAGTGTAATCACTCAGACGGGGTTCTTTACTGGAACAACAGGCGCTATAAAATCGTAGTTTTTGATCTTGTTTAGGAGAAGTTCCAATCACTTGACGTGCCCAGACTAATTTATGAAATATTAATACAAAAGTTGATGAATTTCACGCCCATGGCTGCGATAACGCCATTTCGTCCCCCGGGCAAAAATGAAAACGTGGGGTGGGCTTATTTTGATATATAACTACAACACGAGAGAGACTTGGAATTGGAGTGACCAAGTAGTAATAAGATGTGATGATGTTGCCTTATTGACTTAAGTATCGGAGAGTCTACCCTCGAGAGACACCTGAGGCTCTGTCTTACAGGTTTTAGGCCGTTCGCCGCCGCCTAGGTCATCGTCGCCGCCCGTCTTAAGCATCGTACAAATCCATGCTTCGTCACTCTACCTTCATTGTGCTAACTAATTCATTCCATTGTTTTCTTTAGGTGATTGCTGAGATTACGAATTGCCTAAAATTGAT